CATTTTTGCAGCTACCGTTGTATGAAGATGAAGACGTAAATGGAGGTGTATGCTTAAAAGCAAAAGCCAAAACCAAAAAGTAAATAAAATAAAAAAAAAATTCACTGTGAAATGAAATTAATTTTCAGTGAGATTAAACAAAAGGCGGCATTGCAGACAGACGCGCTTTCGAAATGCTGTTGAATTTGCTATTATGCTAATTTTTATAGTGTTTACGCTGCGTAAGAGGATTTCTGATTGCTCAAGAACAGCAAAATAACCTTAATATATACACACGCATAAATTAAGATCGCGCGCGTATTTATTGAATAGCCAAACAATGTAATAAATGCATTAAAACTAACATTCAAAATATTTTTGGCATTTTAGCGGCGGTAATACGCTCGACGCGCTTTACAATAATTCATTCAAATTTTCGGCGATAAATTAAAAATAAAAATTAAAAAACACTCAAAAAACCATAAATTGTAGCAACGCCACGAAAAGTGTAAAAATGTGATGTGCTCAAGTGGCGGATTATACGCTTTATAGTTTTTATTGCAGCACGGTTGCTTTTGTGGTTTGCAACATTACATAAAACAAAACAAAAATAACAGAAGACAACAGAAGAGAACAATACATGCGCATACAAATAATCACTTTTTACAACTTCATTAAATGTTGTTTATGATGCTCGAAATTGATTATTTCGCCACATTGCTGCCACATTCGCCATACTCAATCGCATGGCGGCACCACAACTGTTGCGCCATACACTTGTCCGCCACTTGCAGCATTGATGCACTTTGATATATGCATACATACATATACATATGTACATGTGTATGTACAGCGTTGTGCTGACTCTTTGCATGCGCACTTGAATGCGCACAGAATCATCGTAAAATCGTAAAAGCATCAGTGGAAAAGAACATGAAATTGATTAATGCATTTATGGCGGCGCGGCCAATGCGGCAGACATCTGCTTAAGTATGTATAAATATTTAAGAATATAAATATGTATGTATATAGATATATATATATGCATATATAGATATATGCGCTTGTATTGCCAGAAAGGAAGCTAAATGCATAAGCGGTGCGGCATATATGCGACGAATGTCTGCCGCGACAGTTCATGTTGGCTAGGTGGCACTCAGCTGCTTGCCACAAATGCATGGTGCAACTTATTTATTATATACATATCTACTACACTATTCGATATGTAAATGCAGTTGATGCCGAAAGTGGAAAAAAATCGAAAACAAATCTCAACTCAACTAAAGCTTACAATACGCGCTTCACCATCATTACCATTACCATTTCCACTTCCCAGCCCATTTCCATAACTACTTCCACCACACCACTTGCAAACACACGTTGCATATATTGTATGACCATCTACTTGTACTTAAACTTGAAAATTAATCTTATGAGCGTGTTGCTTATTGTTATAATAACGATGTGCAAAAGCACTTGTAATGGCTTACGCGCCCTGCCTGCTTGCCTGCTGGCCTCTTAAGCGCTGGAGTGCAACACATGGCACAGGAATGCTGCAACACTACACTCTTTCTATATCTGCGTACATACATACATATATCGATATTTTTACTACGAATAGCTGAGTTTGCTCGTTGCAACATAGCGTTGCATAGCGTCCACTTGAGCAATGAATACATTATTTATGGTTTTGTCGAGTTGATTTTGAAGTAAACTCTGATTTCCCGGCGATTAAAGTGGTTTTTAGTGTTTTGATAGTGAAATCGAAAAATGATGTCTTTATTTCGATTGCAGAATTTTTACGTATATTTCTGCAACATGCAATTCATTCAAGCTAACTGCAAGTACTTGTGAGTGGGACGATCGTTAAGCAACTGATCGTACAACAAAGATAAGGGAAGCAGCAGGCAGAAAGTCAAACTGCAGGAAGAAGGTCTCAATTTCAATTGAAAGGCGTTTATTTAGATTTTAAAAAATTGCAATTTCTACGTAGACGTCTTGACAAACGATATTTATATAAAATATAGTAAATTAAGTAATAACTAGTGGAAATGATCACTAGATTCTTGTTACACTCGCCTACCTTGTACCGAATATAATACGCTTAAATGGTTATATTTACTTGTGAATTCCAAAAAATCGCATATATATCGAATATATATACATACATATATTTGAATATATTCTCTGAGAATTTCAAGTTGATTCAGCAAATATTGTAGGTTCAGATGTTGTACTTGTAAGAAATTTATAACTTAGTGCAATCGGACTTAAAACTTTAAAAGTGTTTATCTGGAAACGCTGTTTTTATAGACGGTAGTCGGTCGACTTGAAACTTTCACATGACCTTCTTATATATACGTAATTGTCAGATAATGATCGAAGAAATATAATTATTGATAAAAATTTCGATTTTTTAGATCGCGCAAATATTGTAAATTTTTTCACAAAAAAAATTTTGTTTCTGTCATATATCCAATTTCTACATATTCTTCGATCATCGTACTCAATTATTGTAAAACAATTTTTTTTGGTTTTTGAATTTAAGATACGTTTGAATAGAAATATCTTCTTTACAGTCAAACAGCTTTTTTTCGGAGGTCCCCCAGTAGATCGGCTACAGAATCAAGGGTATCAAACATTTTCCAAATTTTTTGATTATTAAAGTACATTATATTCTGTAGATGTACATTAATTATGTTTATTTATTACATAAAATAGTGGTGCTAAAAATGTCACAATAAAAACGCGCTTTTTCTTTTTCTCATTTGGATATAACATTTAAATAAATCTATTTAATTTTTAATTTAATTACATCTTATTCTAATGGTGAAAACTCAGTTTACCTTTCTCATCAAAGTCAGCATTAAGTAAATTTCAGTAATATGCTCCTTAATCTAATCTACACCTCAGAAATTAGAAATTGGATTTCATTCAAAATTTCTTGTTTACACATGTCCTTTTGTTATCTGTGTGGCGCAACACGCAAGTTGCCTCATTACAACACAACTCACCAGCTATTAAACTACTCATTTTCACATGCAGTGATTCTAAGTAAGCACTACATACACATACGTTGGAGAACACACATACAACTTACATTTTTGTTGTTAGTTATGTAAATAAAGCTATATAAAGTACCGACATCCACCTGGACGCTTATCACTTCTTTATCTAAGACGTATTTGACAACAGAACCGAGTCAACTCAACCGGAAATTTACCTAACAACCACAGCTTAACTAACTTCCGTACTAATTGTGGCAGGATTTGCGTAGAAAACCAACCAATATACCCACTTACTTACGTGTACTTTCTCCAAGATGCGCACATAAATAACATAATTTCTGAAGATTTCAGAAAATATATATCTTTCGACTACAAGAAGCTGTATTGTTGTTTGCTTTGTGCTTGGTGTGTGGAACATTGTCATGCTGAAGAAAATTTCAAGTTGTTTGTGGCAAGCAAACCTATTATTTCACATATCAAACTAAGAAATGATAAACATTAGAGAGACAAAACAATGAGGCGCATTACATGATAATGATTATATATAGATATGTATGTACATTAAAATACAGTATGTATTCAAGTAGGCGCATTGCATGCATTGTTAAAATTACCGCCAGAAAGTCAGTGGTTAGCTAGTGACAGTAATTCGGTTTCAGCTTGTTGATAGTAAGGCTCCACTTACATACCTACACATAGGTATATGTAAATATAATACTTATGTGTAGGTATGTAAATATACATATGTATGTGTAAGTGTCGATGTAAATAAATGTACATGCATAAATAGTGGTCCTCAGGTCATAGTCAACAGCTTCGAAAACCTTGGCGTAGTGAGTCAACAATTTACGGATAGTTAGATAAACTTGACTGAAAATTAACCAAACACTCATTTAATGCCGAAATTATGCATGGACATTATTATGCGTTGCATTCGGGCATAATGACAAATATTAATTTTCCACAAACAAGTAAACAACCAGATGAAATGAAGCATACACAGTGCGGGAGTTAAGTGCAGGGGCGAGATGAGATACGTAGTGTTTAGAAAGCTCTCTCTTCTGCTTGATGTTACCGTTATTTAGTATTAAATTGTTTAGTTTTTGTTGCTATAAATAGTTGAAATTTCCTTAAGCATTTTAGAAAATTGTGTAACGAAAAATTGAAAGAGTGAAAGCTCCCTGAAGCTTCTGAAATAAGAAACACTAGATCTTTGAACTATATACAAAAATGACGATAATATTATAAATTTTACTTGTAATGTTGCTGGAAAAACAGTTGTAGTTGGTTTGCAGAAACAGTTTGGAAAGTTGTGGAATAAAAATTACATAAGTGAAAGCACCGTAAAAGCTTATGAATTTAGAAATACTATGTTTTTAGTTATACTCCAAAATAAACATGGTAATATTACCACGTTAGTCGTACAGAATGCTACCAATGAGCTTTTATTGCTTATTTAGTCGATCGGTGCAGAATAACTGATAAAAAATCTATATTTTAAAATAAAAAAATTTTAAAAGTGGAATGTTGCACTCGCTTCGTTTAAATTAAATGACCTTATAAAAAAATCACAATAATACCTAAAGTTTGAAAAGCTTTCACCTTTAAATTTATTAAGTGAAAGCTCTAACCTTAATTTCAAACTAACTTTAAGTTAATTTGTGGCAATATTTACAAGTGTTATCTTCACTTCCTCTTCAAAAAAAATTAACAAATATTCACAGGCGTGAACGAAAGCGCTAGTGTATGGATGTGAAAGCTACGACATTTTGTTGAAGAGTTAGTTGTATAAGCTTTTTTAAAGTGAAAGAGTGGAAGCTATCAAATAGAGTATGAAAGCTTTATCACTTAAATATAAACTCCGCATAACAAATTTTATGCGAAATAACATAAATGTGTTGAAAAAAGTTGATTTATCTGTTATATGAACTTAATTTATAAGAAAACAACTTCAAAATTATAAAAACAAAAAGTCTAATTATAATAATTAATTTTCCACTTTAAATTTTCCAGGTGACGCCAGCAATGCCAGTATAGGCAGCGGCGAGGGCACAGGCGAAGAGGATGACGATGCGAATGGTAAAAAGAACCAAAAGAAACGTGGCATTTTCCCGAAAGTAGCAACAAATATCTTAAGAGCGTGGCTGTTTCAGCATTTAACGGTGAGTAGTCGTGCAAACCTATTAAACTAGATATCAATTGAATAATGAATGCATACAATTTTAAGACAATTTTATTAAGTTACTCTTTAAATATTAAAATAAATCATTTGCGCCTATTTCACTGTCGTCACAGTTATGCACTGTTGAAATAACTTTTTTGGTTGTAAACCTGAATAACTCTTTTTTTCGAAAATAAAAATCTATTTTCACAGTTTTATTTATTTGAAAATGTACCAGCAATTTTTTTGTTTAGACAAAACATTGAAGATTTATAGTTGTACGTTTATAAATCAAAAAGATTTGTACTATTTTATGTAATTCTTGGCTTCGGCTTGGCAAGTATGAATTATGCCAGCGGATGTTTGAGTTGTGCTGCCAAGTGTTGAGCGGAAAGTCAAATAACTAAAGAAATATTGCGGGGAACAATTGCCAATAATATGGCTTTTGTTTAGGTGAAAATGCATTCATTGCAAATGGCCACATTCACACATATATTCTGAAATTATATGAATATTATATCTCATCATATATATGCATTTATTTTTAGCGAAAACATATAAATCAATGCTTAATTGCCTGTCCACTAGTTTGACAAAGTTGCAAAAAGACCACTAATTTTTATTGCCATGAGTTTTCGAGTTGATTATTATAATTTGCTGCCAGGTAATGACTACTTTTGCTAGAAAATTCACAAAAATAATTACATTATGCCAGCAAAACAACACGTCTCATGTAAAATTCAAGCTGACCCTTCAAATATGACCTCTTATTAATTACATCTTATCTTGCAACAGTATTATCTAAACTAGAATGACTGCAGTATGCAGTGTCTAGCGACGGTCTATGCCGTAGACAATGAACGAGCGAGATTGTAACAATAAACACGAAAAACCGTTAACTTAAGTTGCAGCTGAAATCTTCTTTACAAATAAAACACTTTTCCATACAAGAACTTAAATTTAGTATATCGTTCAGTATGTATGAGAGCTATATTCTGTGATAGTCGAATCTAAAAAATATTTTCGGAGATTGTAGCAATGCTTTAAATAAAAACCTATGTGCAATTTCGTGAAGATATCTCCTAAAACAAAAAAGTATCTGTACAAAAACTTGGTTTTCATCGATCAGTTTGTATGGCAGCTATATGCTATAGTAGTTCGTTATCGGCGATTCTAATAAATAAGCAGCTTCTTGGTGAGTACAGGATGTGTACAAAATTTCAGATCGTTAACTCAAAAACTGAGTGGCTACTTTGCGTATATACAGGTAGACGGGACGACATGACTTAATCGACTTAGGTCTTCACTCTTGTGTGTACATATATTTTATAGGGTCTCCGACGTTTCCTTCTATGTGCTGCAAACTTCGTGGCAATCCTAATATACCATGTTCAGGGTTGTTTCAGTTGAAAAATAAAATAACGTTTTTTATATTGTCGGTTAAGCATCTATTATGACTAATTTCATCCACAATTTACTGCATGGCTACCAGCTTTTCAAGCAGCTTTCATTAAAGCATTACTGGAAAACAAAGAAATCTTGAAAAACAACTAAAACTTCTTGATATCTCTACTCTTCTTGGCAACTGAATAACTTTTAGGCCAGCGAGAAATATTCCACTAGCCTATTTAGTATATGTCGATATGCAATTTCTTCATTTATTTGCCTGTGTATGAAAATACATATATACATATGTACACATATATCTATTATATGTATATGGTATGCACATACATATATACCACATCGACTATCATCATATCCACATGCACTAGATAAGAATCTTTGCGCCGTTGCGTTTCCATTTTTTCACCTTCTTCACGTCGCCGTGATACCTGAAACTAGTAGCATGGTTTTGAGTATTGTTGTTGTTGTTGTCTCAACCGCTTGTTATTAAAAGCTACTGCCATTGTTATTAAACAAGCTGATATCAGAGTTTTATTATTGTTATAACGACCAGTACAGTTGCAGCTAACGGGTTGCCATACTTACGCACCGACAGTTAAACATACATATGTATCTATGTATGTACGAGTGTATGGCTTTAATGTATATTTGTATGAATTTATGTACATATGTACGTACTTGTATGTCGCACACCTCATTTGCTTATTTCTCATTTTTATTTCATATTATTATTTATTTACACTATCGCACACACATATATACACATACATACACGCATTGATATCTCAAAGTCTGTGCCGTATATCTAAGTATGAGCAGCCATTCTACGTATGTATGAATAACTAGTACACGCAACCGTAAGTGATTTCATATCACTCTTTCCGCGCTGCGGCTCTCCCACTATACTATATATACATACATCAAAGCAAACACACAGCAGTTTTTTCCGTGTTTTTTGTTTTTGCGCTGCTCATAAATGCGATTAAAATTTTTTATTCATTATTTTATTTTTTTTTTGCTTTTTCTCCGCGTTGTACTCAGCAAACACGCACACACCCACACACATGTACATATGTATGTACGTAAAAATATCTACCAACAATTAAATGCTTCGTAAGCAGCCGTGGCGCCCATTGGAGCGCTCTCACTCCCATCACTGTTCGGTAGGTGGAGTGATATTTTATAGTGCATGCATTTTGTTGTTGCGCCACGCACACACAGCCAATGCGCTTGATTGTTGTTGCTGTTGTTACTATTGTTGCACAGTAGCCAATACGGCTGCCATTGGTTAAAATGTATTGCGGTGTTTTACTATTGCTATTGTTGTTGGCGCTTGCCTTAGCTACTGTGGCTGCTGTCTAGCTGTGTTTCTTGTTGGCTTTGTAGCCTTTCTGTTGGTTTTTTTCTGCTCTCCACAGTTGCTACTGGTGTTGTTACTACTTTGGTTGTTGTTGCACGGTGACGCCGCCTGACAATTTAGTAGCTGGTGTAAAGTTTACGTTGACGTGCGCAAAATTAAGTATGGCCGCCATCCGTTTCGACACATTTCGCTGCTGTTACGTACATACATATGTATGTATATATGTATTTAAGTATGTAGTCGACTTAAACGTGAGGGGTGCGCGTGTGATCGAGCAGGTGGGCGTTCAAGAGATCACTTTAGGTAGGGCGCAGGTACTTGGATGAGTGGAATTACGTAATTATTTTTGGGATTTCCACGATTTTTTATAAAGTAAATACATTTTTGGCAAAAAATAAATATATTAAAATATTTTTCCTCAACAATTTGAGAATAATTAACTTATACATTGCGCAATATACATGCCTTCTATACAAGAAGAGAAATTTCTTCTGCTTGGAATTCAGGTATGTAAATTTATAATATGTTGGAACTTTTTGCCTATAGTAGAGGCTTAATAATTTTTCTAAGTAGCTCTTTCACTTAGTAAAATCTTTGGAGATGTAATCTCCATCTCTTTAAAGGACTAGCACGTTAACTTAGGTTTCACGGAAGCTATAATACTTTTCATAGACATAATTTATACCATAAAAGGGTATAAATATGTCTATATATTGGCTTTGATGTAGTGTTAGGCCAAAAAATATTATTTTTTATTATAATCATAGATTCCTCAAAACACCTCAAACGATTTAACGCTCAATACAGCCAACTATGAAGTCAACTTTTCCCAAAGGAACTTGCAACAGTAACCAGCAGCAGTATTTTTCCACACAAAAATGCCTTAAGTTCAAACACAAAACTATTCAACCTCAACCACACGCATTACAACAACTATTTGCGAAAACCGTCACATCTTTGACGTGGCAATAAATCAAATCGACTTGCTAGCATAGAATGTAAGATCTGCGGAAAAATTGCAAATCCACTCAACTCGGCAGTCAATTGAACAAAAGCATCCCCCATTGCATACAGCTGGCAAGAAATTGAATTTAAAATCAGTAAACACATACACAAACACATGCTAAATATAAAATATTTAACTAAATCCTCCACAACGCGTCGCTAACGTATCGAGCTATTGAATGACGCCGATGAATGAAAAGTGAGCAAAAAACAAGGCGCAACAGAGACAATTTCACTTAACACATTTACATATACTTGTATGTACATATAGAGCTTGCAGCAGCAAATAAATGCGTAACTAAAGCGAAAATGCTAAAAAGTGCGCAATGAAAGCATGGCAATTGGAATATGCAAGTTTCCAAGCCAACAAAAGCAAAAAAACAAAAACAGAGACAGCTAAAACAATTTTCTTAATGCTACTGCAAATCGGCGCTAATAACATTAAGGGTAATAGCTCAAAATAAGCGGTAGGTAACGTAAAAACAACAAAGATGCACGAAACGCGCTTATGTTTGTATGTGCAACATGTTGTATACTGCGCTGTTGCGTACGCAAAAGTAAACATGAGCGATGCGCTGATTTAAACGGCAATTCATCACTGTCGTCAGACACATCCTCGCCAGCGTCTGCGTCCTTTTCTCGGTTAATGTTGAAATGTATTAGCTTTTGGGTGGAGGCGGCTATTAAGATGGGGTGCCGATAGTGAGGCATTGGAAAAGCATTTTAGCTGCCATTATATAAACATACATCGCAATTTCATCTATATATACATATATATATATATATACGCATACATATATACATATATTCAAAGATTTTTGAGCTGTTTATGTGTGTATTTTTAATGTTTTCGCCAGCGGCCTGCAGGTCAATTACATTTGGCCGAAATAAAACTCATTTCCGTTTACTATATTTGTTGTTGTTGCTTTTTTTGTAAATAGAAGTTTTCTGCAGAAACAAGTAAGTTTGCTTCTTCTGCCACTTTTTTGCGCTTATTGATCTATGGCTGACCACAAAAAGTTCACCGATATGCCAAACCTGCTGCGTATATCCGCACCGCTCGCAGCATCTACTCAATAACGGCGATTTTCATGTTTTCTCATTTCAATGATTTTTTTTTTGTTTTTGTGGCGCTCACGGTCATCTTCATTTTCCTGTTTTTCTTGCTGGTTGCCAAAACTGTAATGGCTTTTTCAAAACAATATTACGAAATACCATTAAGATTGCTA